AAATGGCGGTAAATCATACTTTTTTTTTAATCATTTCCTATTTCGAGCTTCAGTCATTTTGCGATAGAATTTACAGGATATAATATTGATATAATATACTCAATTATCCCACATTGGGGCTCAATATTCCTCTTTCGAGGCTCAATTATCCAACAATGTCTCAGTTTTCCGGTAATAAGGCTCCATATCCTGCTTTCGAGGATGATGTATTTCTTTTGTTTGCACTTTTGTTATTTGCATCTGTAAAAAATTCAGCTGCTTCTGGTTCCTGATGTTCAATGATCGAAATCTCCGTAAACATTGGCCTGTTATAACTCGGTTAAACCTTTCATTTTCTCCGCTTGATCTCGTAGACCATGAGGTAGTTTTCGGGAAAACGACCTAACAACGAGTAAACAACGACATTTATACGTTTGAGCGTTGATTGGTTCCAAGGGTTCGGATATTTTCTAGAAGATACGAGAAGGTATTGATCGTTTCGCTTGGCATCTGATCATCTGATACTGCTACGAAATGTGGGGTTTCTGTTTAAAATTTACTCACTCACGGACATGGATCGATAGCATAGTGGTACTGCTTGTGCCAATTTGATACATTACAACCGCAGTACAAATATATATTTCATATATATTCACACACACACACATATACATATCCAAATTGGCAACTTTTGTTGTAAATCTAATTTATTTTTGTTCACAAATACGCTATAGTTTTTCACCTTTTTGTAAGAATTGGTTTTAAAACTATTTTTTTTATAACGACGTTTTTCATATGTCTAGATTAATAAGAATTCCGAATAAACACTGTAAAGTATTCCATATTTTATGACGGAAATTTACATATGTTTCACTATTCTAAATGAAACTCTGTCAGTGTTGTGCCCCCCATAGTAAATCATTATTGGAATTGCTTTAGACGAACAATGCGAATTCAAATGAACGAACATTTACCTAAGAAAGTAAATAGTGAGAACGGAAATTTCCCCATAAAACCTCATTTGTAAAAATATCGCAATTCTGCGTTAATAGATATTTAACATTAATATTAACTATTGGCGGAATGCTAAACTTTTTGATAAAATAATGATTATTATTCCCATCGGTTTTGAAAATTTCTAGCATTAAATTTTTCTGACTATAGTTAGTTTCAGTTTTGAGTCGGTATATGAATTCAAAATCATTAATAACTAACGTTTCACTTACCTGTGAAGTCTGTAATTTTATACTTTTAAAAGTCAATAGCGATAAGATTATAATGCCAAATATCGATAGAAGCACATTAACAAGAAAGGAATATCGCACAGCCTTCTTGAAATATTCTCCACGATAGACATGGACTGGTTTATCGCCGAGATCGATATCCAAGACTGAAATAAGTGTCGTCAAAGATACAATGACAGCTGAGCCCCAAACAACTGCTATCCCAATGGAAGCCTTAGCTTTGGAAGTCCATGCTTTGTAAGTCATACCAAAAGCTATCGCCACATAACGTTCTAACATCATTATCACCATCGAATAAACGTTTAAGATGATAAATGTTACATACAGCAAGACAGTAACCCATGACGTGGTTTTGCCGCCAAATTCTTTGCTCATTATAACGTTGTCCAAAATTAACAGAGGTAGATTGACGATCGTATTTAAAAGATTCACTGTACAATGATTTGCTAAAAAGAGATTTGGAATAGTACGGAGTCTTTTGTATCGTATCAGCAAAATATAAATGCAGAAATTCCAGGTTACAGACGAGAGAAAGAGTACCAAGACCAAAACTAGTTGGAGTATTATTTCAGATTGAGATTTCACGATGTCCGTTTGAATAGCGCTGGTGTTGTTGATTCGGTTTGTGTTCCACATTTTGCTCTCACCCAGCTTGTGGCCTATGTCTTCTATAGAGTCAATACTAGTATCTCGGCTGTAAGTCTTCTAGCTCGAGCAAATTGACCGTTTTCTCAAGGTTGCGTGCGCATCCAAATTTAAGGACCTTGACGGGGCAGAACACGAGTATTATCACTTTGCATTGCTATGAATTTTTTTCGAAAAGAATTCATAAAATTGATTATTCTCCTGCTTTAAATATAAAACTGTCTTCTCAATTTTACTGAATTTGCGTTTTTCAGTTTTGTGGCCCGTCAAATTGGATGCGCACGCAACCTTGAGAAGACGGTCTGTTGATTTACTTTTTACAGTCTTCAAAGTCTTTTTTGATATTGTCATCGGGGAAGTTAAATGCATGTTTGTTCGAGTACCTAAGTTCTTTATTTTCGAGCGTTTTTAAGGCTCTTGGCACGACTTCGATTTCTTTGCAAATCTTTCTGTCAGACAATTTTCTATTCGTATAGGAAATCGCACGAACTCGAGTACAATTTGGAAATTAATAGACACGAGTAATGTTTTGAAAGTTCTTGTAATTGCACGAGCCTTTAGGCGAGTACAATTAAAGAACTTTCAAAACATTACGAGTGTCTATTAATTCCAAATTGTACGAGAAGATCGTGCGATTTTTTGTTTATAGTTCACTCAACAAAATTTCAGTAAAAAATGCGAAGCGACGCCGTTCATCTTTGTCTATTTGGCGGCCGATTTTTAGTCCATCGCGCAACTGAAATGCATAAAAAAGATTAGTTCTAACGGCTTTAAAATTTTATTTATATGTTTTTTAAGTACAAAATGATAGAAAATAATTGTTTTAACATTGTTTTGGCCGTGTTGCCATAGCGACTTAATTCGGTACTCCTACGGAGTACAATTAACGCTATAATTGTACTCCTCTAGACCAATCAGAGTCGAGTAATTTTGTTGAGTGTACTATAAAAGTAGAAATTTTCGTTTCACACGCGCGGCACTAAAAAGATTGGAATCTTGAGGGATAAAAATAATCCTTATCATTTGTTAATATACACTTCCTCCATAAATTTATATCAGCATGTATGAGACAATAACATCTGTATTTTACTAATAAAACTTGAAGTAACTTTTATTGTGCTCAAACGAGCTGAGTTCACTTAATTTTCCATTCAGTTCTCCTTTCTTGTTTTGGTGTTACTGACATTTTCTTCTCCTAACAATTTTGTTCAGTGTGCTTCCGTTCTGCAAACCGTTTGGAGGTCAGTGAAGTTTTTTTTTTAAACAAATTTCCTCAGTATAGACATACAGTATAAATCAAATAATTGAAAATTTGATTGATTGATTGAATGAAAGAGAGAACATCATGATTCAATAAGAAAAATGTCAAATAAAACTAAGCTATACAGAGACATAAAACCGGATCTTAGTAATTCGTGCGAATTCATGAAAGTTAAGCTCACACGCCCACTCGCGCACAAGACGTTAATTATAATTAATTTTTGCCTCGCAAAACGTTCAAATAATGTGCTATCAAACTTCAATGCTTTTATTAATGTTAGAGAATAAGAGTTCATCTATTTTGAAAATCATTGATAGCCCTGTTGTGTAAACACTCTTTAATCTTCGAAATTGTCTCCCTCTTAATGTCTTTTTTTGCATGAAACATCCGAAATGCTCGGCTTGAACGGACGTAAACAATTATCGTAAAGCCAACGGCATACGTCTCTTTATTCGATAAAAGCAATTTTACGTGACTATACTGGACTCGTTTTTCCGCATTTTTTATTTTAATTCAGTCAAACACAAACTTTATCATGAATAAGACCACTGAGCAACATATGTGTGACCATTAAATAATGAGGGTGCCAATGGGGGTACCCAATTTTCATTTAACTACTAATTTTTCGGCTGAATCTCATTTAGCTATAATAATTTTACGAACGCTAGCCATAATTAATGTTAAGCAAAATAATGAAATCTCAGTTAATTAAGACTAATTTTAGGTTATTTGTCAGTTAACTACTATTTTAATTTTTGTCCAATTGTCAGTAAACTACTAACGTCATTGGCACCACCCTCTTTTAAAAATATAAACAATTATCGCAAAGAACCATTCAGTCTCTTCATATTTGATCAATAATCAGTTTTGCATTTCCTTTTTTCCGCGTTATTTACCGATTCACACGCACTCACTGAACACAACACAAGACCACCGCGACCAACGTAAGACTAATTTCAGTTAAATTAGATGAAAAAACAAATTTACTAGAACAATTGACTGCTTTGATTTATTTAGAATGAGTTTCTTTAGACCTTACGAACGAATAGGTGTCATAGACGATCTGGTATCATTATTCTTTCGTTTCTATTTTGCGCTCTTTTTAAATCTCAACTTGCCGCTCAATAGAGGTTTACCCTTAGAAGCTAACCTGCCCCTGATACAATTGTGATTAATAGATGAATCGTCAAATATCGGCTTGATTTGAGTGTTGCGTCTTTAAGTTATATACTTCCACTGTATGTCAATGACATTGACTCGTCATCCTAATCTTCATAAATATACGCACAAGTGGTGTTTAAAAGCATCATCATTATTCTCAAGGTTTCCACAATGTTTATTGTGAATTTGGTTTCTGATA